TTTAACATAAGTTTCAGAGAGGTTCATGCACATTTGAGTATGTTCCAGTTCTATGCTTTGTTCCCTTTTTATAGTTGTTATCCACATAGTCATCCCTCAGAATCCAAGGGCAGTTTGTTCCAGGAACCTTCTTGGATCCTAAAGTCTGTGGATGCTCAAGTCTCTTATATAAAATGGCACAAGGGCCAGGGATTTGGCTCAGTGCTTCCACCCCCTGCCTCACAAGCACAAGGGCACGAGTTTGATCCCCAGTACAAAAAGAAAAAGAAATAGTATTTGCATAAAATCTATACACACCCTCTTGTGTGCTTTTTCTTCTTCAGTGCAGGGGATGGAACTCGGGGCCTTTGTCATGCTAGGCCAGCTCCATCCCATACTTTATTTTTATTTATTTGGGGGCGGGGTGAGGATCGAACACTGGACTTGGCACTTGCGAGGCAGGTGGTGGAACCACTGAGCTAAATCCTGGCCCCCCATCCCATATACTTTGAATCATCGCTAGATTACTTGTGATACCTCACACAAGTGCTATGTAAATAACTGTTATGCTTCATTGCTTAGGAAATGATGATAAGGAGGAAAATTTCAGAATAAAAACAGTACACAGGCAATTATTTTTTCCAAGTAATTTTGATCCTCAGTTGTTCGAGTCTGTGCACGTGCAGGGCCAATTGTATATGCTCTAAATTTTACCTATACATTTGTGCACTGATAGCCCTCTCTGCTAGGGCTGAACACACACTTCCTACTGATGCACATTTGAATTGTTGTGGTGTGTTAAGAACCCCAGTGTGTCCATGCACAAGGTATCGAACAAATTGAATTTCTAGAAACAGACATGTCTTAGTGGTATTTGCCACAAGATAAATTGCGTTTCTCCAGAAAGTCTTATTTATTTTCCTACCTAACAGTAAACCTAAGGGAGTTGTAACAAGACCTTTTCCCCACCTAGCTTGCAACGTTTCACATAAAATGTCCTAGGCCCTTCTCTTTTCTAGCTTGTTCTTCAAGATAGCAACAGAATGGCACAATGTTTCTATTACATAAAATTGAAGCACATTTCCTGATTAAGATCTGTTAGAGATATAATTTCTGCTTCACCAGAGCTGGCAGATGCCCAGGGCCCATGCAGAGTTGCAGAGGGGCCTGTGTCGGGCTGTGCTTTTCGTGCCCCTGCCCCTGCCCTTTTCTCTCCAGCACCCTCTCCCCTGAGATGACTCCCTCTGCCTCCTTGCTCCTCCCTCCATTTACTGGGCCCTCTTGTCCCCCTCCTGTGGCCCTGATTGGCTGGTGGTCCTCTGAGACAGCCAGCGCTAGCCACCTCTGTCATCGCCTCCAGCTGAGGTTTTCCCTTTCCTCTCCCGGCTGCACTCTGGCATCAGCTTCTACACTGTTTCTTCCCAAGAACACTGCAATCCATGAATTCCTCCAGGATCTTGTTCTTTATTCTGGAAAACATGACGCCAGTGCATGAGAGTAAGGGGGAGATGGGAGTTTTTCCTTCAAAGTGAATCACTTTGTTTGCATATTACTCTTTTTTATTTTCCAGTAGTAGTAGTACGAGTAGGAGTAGGAGTAGTATAAAATATCTAACTCAGACTAACTGGAGAGAAGAGACTTATTTAGGTCAGTTTTGGAGGCTGAAAGTCTCAGGCCAGACTGCTCCATTGGTTGCCTCGTGAGGTGGATGTCACCCTGACCGCACGGGGGAGCCGGAGATCACGTGGCCAGATCGGAAGCTTGAGAGCCAAATGGGCCAGGCTGATGCTTCTAGAAGACCCGCCCTCGAGAGAACTAAGTCAGAGTCCCAGAGTACGACCTTAATCCCTCCTGAAGGCACTGCCTTCAGTGATCTGTGCCTTCCCACTAAGCCTCGCCTGGTGAAAGTCCCATCAGCACACTGAGGACCAAGTTTCCAGTGTGTGGACCTTTGAGGAGCAAACCACAGCAGGATGTAAAAAGCATCCTCAAGGGCCGGAGATTTAGCTCAGTGGTTCCACCACCTGCCCCACAAGCTGAAGGACCCGAGTTTGATCCCTGGTACCAAAAAAAAAAAAAAAAAAAAAAAAAAAAAAGTGTCCTCGAGATCCCAAACTTCACAACTTTGACAGAAACTGCACTATATTTTCAATATGCTGGGATAGGTTATGTGTTATAGCTGAAAGGAATGAAATTCCTACTTCTGCTTAAGTTAACATTTAGATAACTTAGTAAAAGAGCTGCTAGTGTGATAACTGCTGGTTAGGGCACATACAGGTTAAAAAAAAGTAAATATCCTACCATCACTAACAGGAAGTGTTGTGAGTCTATAAGAACGGTACCATCACATGTTCAAGGGCACACGTCATAGTGGAAGATCACATGGAAGGAACAGAGACAATAAAACGTGCAATCATCTAAACTAGTGGCGAGAAGACAATCAAAATTCTTTAAAAAGAACATCAAAACTCTCCAAGTGTGTTCCCTGCACCAGCAAACTCAGTGCCACCAGGAAACTTATTAGAAAGACAGTCTCCAGTCCCAATCCCAGGCCTAATGGCTCAGAAACTCAGCGGATGGAGTCCACATTTTGATCTATGTTGTAGTAAGTTCTTAGTTAACTCTGGTTTGCCAGAGAGTAGGAGAACCATTGCCTTGTGGAATGCATAACTCTTGAGTACAAAATGTGTGTTCTGACTCTATTTATTGGTTATTGTGACACTATTTTTGCAGAAGTAGAAAAGTACCCTATTTGTGGTGGAGATGTGTGCTTATGAAACCCCAACATCACCAGAAGCAGTCCTTTATGACAGCTGGAACCTGCATTCCAACTGCTCCGGTAGGTTTGTGGCCCAACAGTCTTACAGACAAATCTGCCACATTCTGGGTGTCTGGGTTCTACCACATTCTGGGCATGCTCAGAAAACACAAAGTGGAAATGTTCCCAGATTATCTTATTGACTGACAGAGTAGGGATTTGATTGGAGGAGATGGTAACAAGGCTGTCATGTTTGGTCCATATTACCAACGATCCTAACATGATCACCCCAGAGAGAGATCCTGAGATGAAGGTGGAGTTTTCCTAGGAAGTTCAGGGACAGCCCAAGTGTAGAAAGGAGGCGACACAAAGAAGGAAAATCTTCCAGAAAGCCAGCTCTGTAAGTGGGTGAATCAATCACAGTCCTATTAAAAAAAAAAAACCTCAAAGGGCCTGGGAATTTGGCTCAGTGGCACAGCACCTGCCTTGCAAGTGCAAGGCCCTGAGTTCAATCCCTGGTACTAAAGAAAAAAAAACCAAAAAGCAAATAAATTGTATTTTTTAAAAAACTCAAGAAGATGGTGTCGAGCATGTGACTCAGAATTATTCTAGCCAAGAGGTGGGAAGTTGGGTATTTATACCCCTATGGACACCAGTCACTGTTACAGGCTAGTCTCATGGGAACATTAACTCCCAAGAGTTTCTGGCCTGCACCCAGTGAAGCACAGGCCCTCACCTTAGAGGCTGCAGGCTGGGGACACAGATGCGTACAGGACACCCAAAGAGTTGCAGACGGACGCTCAATAGTATCAGTAGAGGCCAGATGACAGTGACTGGTCCATGTCCTAGGACTGGCGGTTGAACTGAGGACCTTGCCCTTACAAGGCAGGCGGCAGCACCACTGAGCTAAATCCCCAGCTCCTAGAATGATGTTTTATTTTGGTTTATTCTGCAAGTCACAAAGCTTTGCAAATGTTCAAAACAGGATAAGAAACAGGTGGGTTCAGGCCACCCTCTGCTGCCTCCCTGTGACTCATGCTCTCAAGTCTGTCTCAGCATTTGCACTGAGCATGAAGTCAGAAAAGCCCACAATTGTGGGTTCATAACCTTTTATCACCTCCAGCCCAGAAAGAATGTATTCTACTAAAGAAAACATCAGTTACAATGCTCAAGAATCATTACAGTGCCGTTTGAACTAAAGCAAAGCAAACAAAACAACTTTTGATCTCTATATAATGTAAATAGAATATCTTCTTCAAAAGCCACTGGCTTGCCTATTCAGCATTACTCTTTCCTAAATATTGCTTTTATGTATTGCTAATGCATGCTTTCTGTACCTCATAAAATTATATGACATAACAGTTTAGTTGAATGCCTCCAGATGAACTGCTACCTCTACAGTGTCTAAAGTGAAAAATACACTGTGTTGGAATGAATAGTTAATTAGATACTGCAGCAGAAAATAGTTAATTTTAAGACACAGCTATAGAAACTACCTAAAATGAAAGTCAGAGGAGGAAGAAAGGTTGAAAAAATATGAACATAACTTTTTTTTTTAATTTTAAAGGCAAGGTCTCACCATGCAGTTCAAGCTAATCTTGAATTCCCTATGTAATCCAGGCTAGTTTCCAACTTGCAGTGATCCCCCTGCCTCAGCCTCCTGAGGGCTGGGGTTATAGTATGCACCATCACACCCAGTTATTTTTGTTTTGTTTTGTTTTGCTTTGTTTTATTGTTGCTGATGTTGTTGTTATTGTTGCTGTTGTTGTTGTTTCAGAATGAACGTAACTCCTAACAATTTCATTCATAGATAGAGAGTCTGCCCAAAAAATGTATGCACACTTCAGCAGTTCACCATAACAATGAATGTCTGGAAGCCAATAGACACCACTTTGAGTACCTCTTGTAATTATAGAGGCCAAAGGTAATGTATTAATCTCATGATGTCTCAATAAATTTAGTATTAAAATATTTCCCTGATATATACATTTTTGATCTCTCTCTCTCTCTTTCTCAATGAAAACTATAAACTCCCACATCCAAGAAGCTCAATAAACCCCAAACACAAGAATAAACTAGAAAATTCCCTTCCATAGAAGAAAGACATATTTTCACGCGTAAAGGGCCCCTGAATGGGTCTGGGTAGTAATCAGGAAAATCGACCAAAGTACAGCAACCACCAAGCCTTCATTCACTTACTGCAGCAGAGTAAGTGACAAGAAAAAGGAGGCACCCACTCCTGGTGCTCCTTTTCCTCCACAGAATGGCTCAGCTAAAGGTCAAAGTGCAGGCAAGGAAGGCTGCCACCCAAATAAAAGGCTCCTGCCTCTTTATGGACTTGGAGAAAAGTAGAGGTGCCACGAGCAGAGAGATTCTGAACAGAAATAGAGACAAGTGCCTTCACAAGGCTGTCAGTAGCCAGAGCTCCAAATGGAGGAGCCAGGATAGGAATACAGACACAATCTCCAGCAAGACTAGCCTGGGAGGCCTAAGCCCTCAAGAGCAAGCCCCTCTAGAAAACAGTGATGGACTGCTCTGCCCCCACTCTGGTGTGGGGAAGGCAGGTTCCTCCACGGGGCCTGTCAGACAGTCTTTGATCAAGGCTGAAAGGCTCCCTGTGGTCAGGACCATCCCCGAGTTGTCAACAGGATTTGGGCCTGGAGCCAGATTCCACAGGTGAGATAAAAGCCTCCCTCCTCTTTCCAGTATGTTTGTGGTTGTAAAAATGTAGGTATCAGAAGAGAAATCCAGGCTGAAGAGCCACAGCATAAATAACAGCCATTGAAAGGAAGCCACAGAAGGACAAGAGACTGTTATTAGGGATGATCAATTAAGGGAAGGTGGGACAAAGCAGTGAGAGACACCAACAGTGAAGTCACAAGCGTGGAGATTGAGAAGAAGGGGAAGAGAGACAGAGAGAAGACTAAATGAGCATAGAGTCAGGAGACCCTGAGAAAAAGAGAGCAGGAAATGATGGATACCAGGTGCCTTGGAGAAGTCAAGGAAGATAAAAGCTATAGAGTCTAATAGGTTTTAACGATAGGAATTAGCTGGGCATCTCGGTGGGAACAGGGTAAACAAGTGGTAGGGTCAGAAAGCCAGATCCTGTAGACTAAGGAATAAAGAGGAAGTGAGAAAACAAAAATAGGTGTGGATTATTGCAGCTCAATCTCACCAAGAGGGTGGCAGGAAGGACAGCTATAGGGAATGGAGGGGATGTTTGTGGAAGTTGAGAGAAACCAGAGAAAGTTAAACTGTGGACGAGGAGCCGGAAGGCGATGAAGCTGTGAGAAAAGGGAAGAATGATGCACAGAAAGCCGTCTGTCGGGAGGAAGGCATCTTCCTATGAGGAGACAGGAGGAAAGGATGCGCGCAGATGCACATGAGGTCTCAGCGGTGCGGAGCTGCGACCTCATCTGTTGATCGCCCGTATTTCTAAGAAAGTGGAAGTTGGGTGGGAGAACATCTGCTGAAAATAAGAAGCGGTGGGGCAGAGGTTTGAAGGGAGTATAGGAGGTTGAAAACTTCAGCCTACTTGAGGTTGGAGACTGAAGTATCGCTCCATGGGACTGTGATCCTTCAAGGTTTTCTCTAACAGAACTAAATCCCCCACCCTCCACCTCTGTGTTCTCATCCGGTCCTGGCCCTTCTGGAGCAGAAAATCAGTAAGTTAGGGGGAAAACAGCCAGTGTTTACTGGAGCCATACTCTCCACGAAGTTCCGTACGCACATTAATTAATTTAAGTCTCATCATACCACAATGGCATACATACCACCATGGCTCCTGTAAGGACCCAACATTAAAGCACTCGCCAAAGGAGCCCAGTGATAGGGCATGGATGAAGCCAAGGTCAGAACTCATACTCTCACCCAACAGGCCCAGCGTCTGCTTCAGGAATACTTGGCTCCTGGTTGGGAAGGGGTGTGGCTGCCCCTTGAAACCATCCTTCTTTCCAGTGTGCTCTGAGTACATCCCTGGTATCATCAGTCTTTCCACAATTGAATTGAACACAGCCCCTTAGACACGCGGTTCCCTTTGCTGGGAACACCATGCTCTCTTTTCCTATCTCCTCTTTGTTCTATCTCCACTTAAATAGCTCTTACTCCAGATCACTTGCAGCAATTCATACTTGTATCACTTTTTGTCTTGTTTTGTTTTGTTTGAGACAGGGTCTCACTATGTAGCCCAAGCTAGCCTCAAACTCACAGCAATTCTCCTGCCTCAACCTCCTGAGTGCTGGGATTCCTGGCATGTGCAACCATGCCCAGCTAGTTGGAGCTTCTTACTGCTTGCTTCCTTGCTATTTTTCTGCTTAGTTGCCTGCTCAGTGGGATGAGTAAGCAACTGTGATTACCCTTCTGCAGAACACAAAAACAATGGAGCCAAGTGACCATGACTGAGACCTCTGAAACCATAAGCCAAGATGAATCTCTCTTCTTTTGAAGTTTTCCTCCACCTCAGGTATTTTTTCACAGCATTAGAAAACTAACATACCACATTTTTTTTTAAAAAAGTTCCCCTTGGAGAAATGCTTGATTTCTATTTAAACTGTGCAGGAAAAATAAGCTGAACCTGGAATATCTTGAGCTAGAAAACAAAGAAGTATGCAAAAAGTGATAAGGAAAGAGCAAGATAAGGGAAGGGGCTTTAGTTTAAGAAGCTAAGGCAGGCACAGCTGTGATTGCCAAGACTAGATATAGCTTTGTTGGGATGGGCTAGGGGCTGGTAAGCATCCACTGGTTCATTAAATATGGCCTCCTGTGTTACACATCCTCCTAGTGTTAAGGTGTGGATCCCCAGTCATTCCCCTCACCCTGGGAGACGTCCTTGTGTCCAGCCAGCTGTCACCGCACACCTGGTCCTCCCAGTAAGAGTAGGGGACTGTGGGGGAGCATACATTACCATGGGAGCACAGAGAAAAAGAGGTATCTCCATCTTGAGTGGGTAGCAGGCCATATGGGTTAAGGCCTGAGAATTTATGCCTGCTATCCCATGAGGGCATTCATCTTATTCTGACAAGGAGGAAGTAAAAGTCAAAAGAATCTCTTGCATTTTAAGAAATAGTTCAATATGATTGTGTTACTTCTCCCCCCAAAAATCACCATATCTATGAAAAATCTGAATGCCACTCAACAAAGTAGGAATTTCCAACATGTTTGAAAAACTCTCAAATGAAATGTTTTTGTCATTTGCGCTCATTGTGCTAAAAATAAAAATGAATCTATTCCAACTATAGTATTTTGCAAAAACTGTTGCCAAATAAGTGGAAATTTTTTTTCCTCATTGAGTTTATTGGTACATTTTAGGTATACAGTACAGTTACATTCATTATTGGGATCTTGTACTTTACATGTCAGGTCTTGGTTCTCATTTTTTTCCCCTTGTCCCTGCCCTCCCTTCACCCTCTCTCCCTTCCCCTTTACAAACACTTCGTTTCCATTTTTTCATTTTCTCATATTTTTTTCTTTTCCCTTATTAACATTCCCCTACCCTTCCCACTTTCACTAAAAAGTGGAAATTTTAATGAACATCTTCGGGACTTTTTAGGAAGGTTAACAGTAAGTATGATTTAGTAACTGCAACCAGGAATTTTCCTTTTCGCTTTGGATTCACATATCAAGAAGATACGTCAACCCATACACTCATAATCAAATCCCAAAATCAATGAAGTGAAAATTCAAGTTGTTAGCACTTGGGTATCCTGACTGAAAAATCACTGTTTAGTTAAAATGCATGGATTTATGGTACATAAATCACATACTAAAGATGCCTTTACAATCATGCTGTTCTTTACAGATACTCATTTTTACTATATAATTGGTAACTAACAATTTACTTGCTATAAGTAACAACTAAATATTTCATCTCTCATCCTTTCTCATCTTGCATATCTTTGGTGTCCATAATCTATTATTAAGGTATGTAGATAAAAACCACTGGAATGGCAGGCTCGAATTATTTACTGCCAAAGGTCAGAGCAAAAAAAAAAAGCTTAGAGAAGGTCCTCCTGCCCCTGAAAGGGGCACTCAAGAGCCAGGCATGAGAGCATACGCCTGTAATCCCAGCACCCTGGGAGGCTGAGGCAGAAGGATTCCAAGTTGGAGCCCAGCCTGGGCAATTTGGCGACTCTGCAGTAAAAAATAAAAAAGGTCTGGGGAGGTAACTCTGTGTGGAAACCTCGGGTTGAATCGCCAGTAACTAGGAAAAAAAAAAATTCTGGCAGCTCGCTTATTCCATCGTCCCTGTACTCTCAGCCTCGCAGAATTCCCAGCGCCACGCTCCTAGAGCCTGAGTCAAGGACGCTGGATAGCGCCCCGAGGTCCACCAAGCGTTCCCAGCCGGCCAAGGACCGGAAGTGGCTTGGCAGGGGGCGGGGCTTCCTGAGCTATGCCCCGCGCAGGCGCAGTGTAAGGCGTCGCGTCCCGGAACCCCTAGGAGTCCATGTCCCCAAGAGGAAGAGGCGGGGCGGCCTGCGGCTCT